AAACTCCTTGTCGCGTTTTAAAAATCGCACATACACAGTAACCATGTACACGTCGACTTATTTTTACTTTAAGAAAAATCCCAGAATTGCAAAAAAATGGCATTGCGCACACTCTTGACTTTACCATCTACACTGCTATTTTCTCATAAATTACAAAAATTTTCACAAAAATGCAGGAAATTGTGAATCTTTAACTCGGTAAAAGCACATATATGAAATACCTGATCACGAAAAAGTATATACCCTATCCAAGGATGAACATTTCCACATATAAAATAAATAAAATATCCAAAAACTTTTACCTCTAAATTATCTATTATAAACATCACCAACGAATTCAAAACGAAACATTAAAAATGGTTACAAATACTTAGTGTCAAATATTTAATTATTTCCATGCACGTTTACTTCCACTCAAACGTATACCAAATTGCTACAAACATATAATTAACAAAATAACTATCATTTAATTAAAATATAACTAAACCATGTACACGTCGACTTATTTTTACTTAAAAAAACATCCCAGAATTGCACAAAAATGGCATTGCGCACACTCTTCACTATATCCATGTACACTGCTTTTTTCTCATAAATTAGAACAATTTCACGAAAATGCATGAAAATTTTGTGAATGTTTAAATTAAAATGGTAAAAAGGACATATGTAAAATTACCTGATTGCGAAAAAGCATATACCCTTTCCAAGGATGGACATTTGCACGTATAAAATAAATAAAATATCCAAAAACTTTTACCTCTAAATTATCTATTATAAATGTCACCAACGAATTTATAACAAAACATTAAAAATGATTACAAATATTTAGTGTCAAATACTTAAATTCTTTCCATGCACATTTACTTCTACTCAAACGTATTCCAAAATACTACAAACATATAACTCTCAAAATCACGATCATTAAATTAAAATATAATTAAATTAAAATACACTACTTAAAATATAAATAAGCACATACATTAATTAATAAAAATTAGCTTACAATCCTAATTACTTTAAACTAAATCATTGCTAATAACAATTTTCCAATAATACCATATTAATTTATTTACTCCTTACATTTAGAACAATGCATAAAAATAATATCCTCAAATAATTAAAAATACTAACTTACCTAATCTTCTACAGAATCTTGAGTGCATGGCAGGTCACAAAATGTCCATTTTCACCAGGTTTCTTGCACCGCCATTCAAACTATCTGTAATATCCTTCCTTTCACACAATCTCATTTCATTCCCACATATTGGACATTCATACTTATCCGCAATTAAGCAATTCTTTTCAATTACACATAAACATAATAAAAATTTCAGATTTATTTTATATACGGCCATGGGATCCAAATATTAAACAACACTGTTTCACACAACATAGAATGAAACTACTGCTATAAAGTACAGCAGTTATTTTTACAAATATACCCCCTTTTCCGATTAAAGAACAGTGATTCGTCCATTAATGTCTCATGACCTCTCATTTCCCTCGCACAAAATAATGCGTAATCGGAACTGAGTGCTTCTCACATTATTCCCTAAGTCCTAAGTAGTAACCTTTATCGCCATCAAAATGTCGCCAAACTACCTGTTACCATATTCCAAAGATCAGCCAAACCGTTAATCCGGAAGTCCCGACGAGTCCGGATTAAAGACTTTTGACTGTATATATATTATTTGGATCCTCATCATGTTCAGTCTAATTTTTATGTACTTTTATAGACACATTTCAAAATCGATATATGTTTTAACATATTTAATTATGAAAGCAGAACATAAATAAAAACAGTTTTGTAAAGCATCGTTTTTAAATTTGTACAAAAATTTCACACATTTCAAATAAACTGCCATTCAAGTAACTCTGCTTTTTCCTAGGAACTTGAATAATGGCATAAATAAAATAAAATACCTCTAATGGTCAGTCAGAACCACCACTACTCAGTTCCATTTATTTCTGCTAATAATGGATTTTAGATATAAAACTGTGTGTGTGTTTTAGTTTATAATTGACTACATAATTTATATGTTGATCTGTGAATGTATTAAATATGCTATAAAATAAAATTATTACATGATCTTTGTTTTAATTTTTAACCACAGAGTAGTGTGAATTTTTTGGCACGTGCTTTAAAAGTTCTTTTTCTTTGCTTTCCAAGCTTCAAGGCTGGGGTTGTATGCTGTAGGAAGTGTTTCTTTGTCTGGAGAGAAAATGGACTGCATGAGCGATGAAGAACTTTCCCATATTATAAATTCAGTCTCAGTTTTTTATCGGGTTGGACCTGGTCACAAGCTGAGGATTGTCAAGGTATATCTAGCTTTAAGTACTCATAAAAAACTTGTTGTTTTAAATGAATATTACTTTACAGGTAATGGTTACATTCATATCTTCACACTGAAATAATCGCATATTGACATCTACTACTTTAAGACAGACCGACATAAGCAATTATTATGGTTGATTAATTATAATATATTTTTTTAAAAGTTAATGATCTATACAAATGACTGATTGTCACAATATGTGATCCTGTAGTGAGTAAATAAATAAATGAGATACAAAAATATGCTAAAAGCTAATATTTTGATTTTGCTGGATGTTTACTTCAGTCCGTTATCAATAATGTATGATTTTGTACTTTTGATGATTAATGATTTTATGCATGGCTTTCTTGGAAATTTGTTTTGACATCTGAATTAAAATTTGATCTCTCAGATATGTGCATATATGTATGTGTGTGGGCATTAATCTGCCTGCTTGTAGGATAGTCTTAAAATGTTATGTAATAGAGCTATGCAATTTTTAACAACAGTCTAGAACTAGCAAATTTAACAATTTCAGAGTTGAATTTAACTCCTAGAAGACGGTGACAAAAAGTTGAGTTCATTTACTTGCATTTTTGGTATTGTTTAATCTATTAAATTTACTTAATCCTGTACTCCACTGTTACTAGAACTCTGCAGAATATTGATGGTTTGCCCCATGTTCTGTTCCCAGAATTATTGAGCTGGCTGCATGAAGTTTTCATTATTTTCCACATGGACTTTAACTAGGGTGTGTTTATAGTAAATCTGGGCTAAATTCAGTGAGAAAGCCTTCCATAGAAGCACCTTTTCCAGTAGGCAGGTGTTCCTATAATTTAATATGCAGTGTTTGGGACCAAAGTTTGTGCTGAGTAGAGAATTTAAACAAAAGGTAATTAAAAGACAAAATTACTTGTTCTATTCCAAATTGAATTCTCTTATTTTGTGAGATCTTGTCCTTTTAGCTATCACCCCACCAGCGGCCGAGCGGTAAAGTCGCTGAACACTGGTAGTTCGGTCCGAGGTTCAAATCCCGCGAACAGGCTGGCTGCATGGGTGTTTTCGTGGTTTTCTCCATGTGCAACGTGTATACGAGCCAGTTTCCCTTAAAAAGTCCTCCACGAAGGCATCCCTTCCCTGAGGCAGATAGCCCTAGCGTGCTATGCCATAATTAAATACACCAACACCAACCTTTTAGCTATCATGCAAAGAAACAATCTGCTACTAAGCCAGGTAATTTCTCGTACAAACATGAAGAAATAGCACATGAGGAAAAGGTTTCAATTGCCCTTTTAATTGTTTAAACTCTTAAACAAAAATGCACATCCTTTGTGCTCACAATAACACTGACTACTTGTGGTGAGAACTTGAGAATAAATTAACAATAATTTAAATGGCAAAAAGTAGTGCTGGACTGCTTAAAACTAACAGGCTGACTCAGCAACCTACACCAGTGATAGACCTTAAGTAAACGGCCAGAAGGCAAATCAGCAACTCAGGACGCCTATTCTATGATCACTGGATCTGTCTACAACTTAAGCGAACAATATTGACTCAAAGAAACCGGTATGGACAGCTATCAACAACTTATCGGAGAAAGCCATTCTGTGGTCCTCAGTTGGTGGGCGGGTGGGTCCATTTGACTTTACTGAAAGGGGACAAGACTTCAAGGAGCTTTAGACCAATCGCAGTACAGACGAGTGACGAAATTTATAGCGTGCGCTGGCTGAAGTTCTAGGAATATTCTCCCATTATTTCACTAACTCACACGCTGCATTTGTAATTCGGAAAAAATTGCACAAAACAGTATTATGACCAACACGCAGCCGAATATGCTGCTGGGTTATGTGAAGGAAAATCCTGTTTTTTAAGGTGAAAGTTAACGCAGGAATTTAAAGCTAAGAAATAAAGAGTGATATGTGATACCATAAAAGCTATGGTAAATAGGTAAGAGTAGATGAATTAAGCTTACTTCAAATTCTTTTAGAAATAAACAATTTAATTCATTTAAATTTATATGATTAATTTGCATTACAAGCTAATAGCAAACTAAGTCCCCCCCATGCTTACATTAAAACTGTTTTCCCGCAATTGTTTTCAGTTACTATTGGAAAAATATTTCTTACATAATAATTAGAAAGAAATTTTCTTCCCTTTTTTTATTTCCTTTACTATGAAAATTATTTCTTTCAGGAAAGAAATAAATTCATTCGCTATACAGTATGGCCGATTGCTGCTGCATTCCAACTCACACCCAGCAAAATGCTTTATTTAAATAATTATTCGAATTAACAGAAAGAAAATTTTTTCAATACATATATAACCAAAATTAAACTAATCTATCCTGTAGTGTGATTATTCGTTTTGCATTTTTGTCACACAATTACTACACCTTTTTTTTAATATTACATTGCTGTACTTGAATTTTTATATATATAAGAATGCTCAGTTTAAATATTCTTCCTTCTCAAAAGATTTTATTTTGTGAAAATAATTAAAAGATAGTAATATTTTCACAATGTAAGTACTAAAGTAAAAATAATCAGTGTAGGTCTCTTGCAGTTGAAGGCCTTGTCAAGCCAGCGTTTCGACACATTTTAAACAGAAAACTAATAATAATCAATATCTCTTACAATATAAAAATGAGAATGCTATGAACAGTATTTTTTTTGTTTTGTTTTCTTTGTTAAATTTGCAAAGAAACAATGATTTTTTAATACTATAATAGGTCACAAAAGTTCTATTCCATGAACAAACCCTCAGTCTTATAGCATAATACAATATAATGCAGTATAATTCTATAACACACCAGCCGCCGAGCGGTAGAGTCGCTGAACGCAGGTAGTTTGGTCCGAGGTTGAATCCCGGGAACGAGCTAGCCGGCGTTTGTGGCTTCCACATGTGTAACTTGTATACGAGCCAGTTTCCCTTAGAGTCCTCACTTAGAAACCAGTTTTAAAATGTAATAAAATTACACGCAAAAAATATAATAATAAATAAATAAATCTGAAAGCCTTCAGATTTTATTACTCCCAAAGGCCATTATTTATGTTTTGCGGTTATCTTTATTTATTAATATCTGTTTCCGCACTAACCCAAAAGGAAACACAGCCTCACTTTCAAAAAGCATTCTTTAGATTCCGATACTATCCCGCTAGATGAAAATGGTTTTTTCCAATGTGCCATTGCTCGCTTTTGAACTCGTTGGGTTTAATCAAAAACTCTTAAATGTTTACAAAATATGCTTAAATAAATCAAAGTCAAAATTTGAGCCCCAGATAGAGGAGAGGGATTACGTTATTCAGAATTCATGGCTCTGTTTTATCACTGTGCGAGAAACATTCATCATTCTGCAGATTCCTCATTATTTAATTTCTTTCAGATAATAGAGTGCGATAATACTTGGGCAACGATTGAAGGAACGCCACAAAAGGCAAAACGAATTAATAGCTCTGAGCGAAAACTTATTTTTGAAAGTTCACATAGTAGTAGTACAGCTACTGCAAGATATTATAAAGCTATTTTATGTTATATATAATTTTTTATTTTATTTTATTTTACAGTAGTGTGAATTTCGGAATAATGAACGACATTTCCTTTTGTGTTCACAGTGTTATTGGTAAGGATTCAACGTTAGATTTTAAGTAAACGTAATCTTGTGTACATAAATCGAGTAGAAGCTTAGGTGTCTAATTTTGTAAATAAAGAAAGTTATGGCTTGATAAACTTATATCTTCTCATTTTTAAAGATACGTCAATTTATATCTATAATTCGGGAATAGATACTTTCTTTCAGTAGAATGCGTTTGTTTGAATGTGGCTCCAAATACTCTCTCAGTCATCGCAAATAAATACTATAATTTTGGCAATCTGAAATACGCAATGAAAACATCTTTTGGCAGAGCAAAGCATCAATATATTTTCTATAAATCGCCACCTCAGAGTACGACGTATTCTTCGTTAATATGAAAAAAGGAGCACGAAACCATAAGCCATTTTCCTAATGGTAACTGCACAACCCTGATGACGACGCGCAACACTTTTTCAGCGCTTCGACAACTTCCGTACTCAGAGAATATAGGATGTCAGACAGACCTGTTTTTTACTAGCAGCGACATCTGGCGGCCCACAACTTGCTGTCGACTCTCGTAGCGTAGAATAACCGTGCAGAGTAGCAGCAGGAAGAACAAAACTGCAATGTACACTGTGCTGGTGACATCATACTCTGACTAACTCTCTCTTTTCACCCATTTAAATATTCTTTTTTACTCTATGGCAAGAAAATAGGAGGGGAAATTGAGAGTTCAGAAATATAACAAAAATTAGAATACATGGTTATTCAAACTAGGGAAAACCCTACAATTCTAAATTCTTCACGTAAGTTATATTTTTACCTCAGTATTTAATTTAAAACTCAGTTAAGATAAAATATTTATTATTTACTGGTTAATAATAAAAGGAATATACATTTATGATATCTATAAATCAAAGCATATATGGCTTAATATGCTATTGCCGTGTAGTGTCTAGAATCTATCTGGCCTTCTTTACGTTCAGGTGGAGCACTACGGTCGATATATGGCAGTACATTTCTTTAGAAGAATTTTGAGAACTGTAATTTGTGTCTTTTTGAATATGTTTACATTCTGCATCTTCTAATTCTTGCATCTATCTTATTTAGATTGTTTTCACTTAAGTTACTAACGTACCCATATGGTTAGAATTACTTGAGCAAGGTTTATAGAAAGTAAAACTATTGTCGTTTTGCTTACAGTTACATCCAAAGAAAATAATACTAGTATAAGGACGGAAGAACATAATGGAGAGAGAAATAGATAAACAGAAAACAAGGGAAATAAAGAAATCTAATGCAAAAATGCATCAAAATATATTATGAAAAAAAAAGTTATGTCGACCAGCAAAATTTCTTTTGAAGTAACTTTTAGGCTCTTAGTGAATAATAATACACTATTTACAAAAGTCCTTGCAATAAAGCTTTTTCCCTCAGATTTAATCCTTATGTTAATATTACAGTTGTGTTTCATACATATGCACCTGGATTAATAATATTTTTGTCAACTAATAAAAAATGCTAAAACTAGAATTTTGGATTTGTAAATGTTCATCATGCCGTTTTCCTTTACAATGTTTTCTGTTTTGGATGACAGAAAAATCTACAAGTGCTATTATTCCCTGTCAGCATAAATCTTCTTATTTTTTTTTTTTTTTTTTTTTAGAGGTGTATTAAAATATATTCAAATTAAATCCCAATATCTGAAAGGTTGTTGACAAATATTCTTTACACTTGCTAATCATATAAATTCAAAATAAATTTTAAAAGATTATAGAATAGATATCCAAATGCAGGGATTTTTCTTTAAAAAAAGTATAAAAAAGTTACCTAGATTCATAAACCTCATTTACTGTAAGATAAGAGCACTGATGGATGCTAAATGATTTCAGTAATAAAGCTAATTTGCTCCTTTAATAAAAATACAAATCTGATGCATGTTTGTTAAAAGTTCATTTGCATATACATGCAAGAATAAAATTGCCATTAAATTTTCTGATAATCAAAATTTTGTTCATTTACTTGCAAAAATGAATTTGGAATACAGATATCTTCTGATTAAGTACTCACAAATCATTAGAATACTAATGTATTAAAAGAGTTGTTATAAATTTAAAATTTCAGCTGTATTATATGTCTATGCAAATTGCCTATTTGGATAATAAAAAATTCTCCATTTATTTGAATTTTATTGATGGCATTAACTTTTTGTAAATGATTTTTTAGGCTTTGCAAAGAAATGGTGAAATTGTTGGCATGACTGGTGATGGTGTCAATGATGGCGTTGCTCTGAAAAAAGCTGATATTGGTATTGCAATGGGAAAAGCTGGTACTGATGTTTGCAAAGAAGCAGCTGATATGATTTTAGTCGATGATGACTTTTTTACAATAATGTAAGCATTTTGTAGTTTCCTCCCTGTATTTGATGTTGGAAACTATAATAAATTCCTTGACTAACATTTTTCTTTTATCAGGGCAGCTATAGAAGAGGGGAAAGGGATATTTTATAATATCAGAAATTTTGTGCGTTTTCAACTTAGCACGTGAGTTCCTTTCAGTATTTCAGTTCATAGTATTTTGTATAATTTTATTAATTGCAATATTGAATTTATAGGGGTCTGAGCTCAAAGGGTGTTTTATCTTTTGACAAACTGAATGTGATATTTTTGTTTTTAGGAGCATTGCAGCCTTGTCGTTAGTTGCCCTTTCTACATTTATGCATATTCCTAATCCTTTGAATGCCATGCAAATATTGTGGATTAATATAATAATGGATGGCCCTCCAGCTCAAAGGTTTGTTCTTTTAATATTTCTGTATGAAAGGGGAAATAAAATTTTAATCTTCAGTAAGTTCACAGAACAGTAAAAGTTCAACTACCTGGAAAGCTGATAAACTGCTGGATGCATGAAAATGACTGATGGTTGAGAGTATAAAAAGTGCAGCTCACAGTACCAAAACCAAATGAATGGAAGCAGAAATTTTGAATTTGTGGTCTAAAATTATAAAAACTGGCATATCATTTTTTATATAGCTAGATATCAAAAGCTTAAATTTAAGATTACCTAAAATTCTGGGCAGGAGGATGCATTTCACACACAAAAGCCAACATATTCCCTAGGTCTTTAGAATAAGTGAGTGCTCTAAGACCTCTCTTAAGTTTTGAGAAAAGTGAGTGCTACTTTTTGTCAATATATGCCACTAACCATTACACTGGATTTCTTCGGAATTACAGGTTGCTACCTTTGGCATGATTCTCTCCAAGGCTAAAGACACTGGTGTTAGAAACACTTGGTAGCAGGCGCCTGGGTGAAAACTGCATCCTGTATGGAACTCGTATGAAAATCGTATAACTTTTCCAGCATAATTTGAATTAAAAGTTCATGAGCGAGAATAAATCTCATTCAGTTGTGTTGAAGAGGCTTGGCATATACGTTAATACTGCATCTAACTATGTCTGGTGGTGTAAAATGCAATTTAGCGGCTGTTTCCTTAACCAGCAATTATAGGCATAATTTTGCTGCATACTAGCATCTGGATGGCGAGAGCTTGAATGAGTGGAGATGCATTGTCACTAGAGGTATATGGGTGGTGGATTCAAGGTTAAAATGATGCTTTTTTTTAAGAGAAAGCAACACCATATTAGGATTTATTGAACATGATGTCTTAAGTTATGAACACAATGGACTATTGGAGAAAAAAAAAAAAAAAAAAAAAAAAAAAAAAAAGATGAAGTTATAGGCTTTTTCAAAGATGCCTTTAGGCTTATTTCAAAGCAGAAAGAAAATACATTCGATGATCATCCTAAAGAAAATATTATCATTCTCTTGTGCAGCGTTAAACTCTGTAGTGATGTTATATTAGCAGTATTTTTATTCTTGTCTTATATAGGAATATTTATTTATTCAGCGTCAGGTATTATGAAATTTTTAATATGTAAAGAAAAAGGTGATCAGTAAAATCAAAATGTAGCATATCATTATGTATCAAACTTCTTATGTGATAACTTAAGATGATCATCTTTGAAAACGACCAGTCTTTCTGAAAAAAAATTGCTAAAACATTGGTATTGAGCATTGGTATTGATATTCTCTTAAATAATTGTCTTCATAGAAAATCAAATCTTTTGGAAATGTGGAATACTGCCATAGAAAGGGTTATATTCTGTTCTGTAAATTTCTTGGGGTGAGCCCTAAGTTTGTCCATCTGAGCAGTTTTCGTCACTTCTGTTGATGTAAGCAAATAACTTTAAAGAGTGTAAAAACCACATAGAGGAAAATAAATTAAAAATCTACCTTTATTTCTGAAGAAAAATTTAAATTCCATGAACTTTAAATTTTATTATTATCATTTGTTTGAGAAACCACCTAATAGAGGTCTTCTTGATTACTCCATTTGCTGCAGTAATTATATTATTTGGAACTTTGTTCTGAAGAACTGCATTTTAGAATGAATTGCAAAATGTTAACAGAATTGCTCTTCCACATTCCAGTTTTGTTTTCTTAAGCAATAATAATGGAAATAAAACTTTGAAACACTTCTCTCTTACAGAGGAATTCTTCCTTATTAATATTTCGGTGGTCCTCAATGAGCTCGGCTCTTATTCCAGTTATGCACTACACTGGGTGCAAATGAGCAGAGCTCACATTGCAATTTTATGAGTGACAGATATTGCACATATTTGAGAAGAAAGAATTGTTTAATGTCGCCAATATCATAATTTAATTGATATTTGTAATTTTCAAGTTTTGAATGAATAAAAATGGTATAAGAGTGTGTAACTGTTGAAATCCTGTGAGGATTTCTTTGGATATTGATCTACAGAAGAATCTACTTTTCTTCTTAAATTAATTCTATATGGCAATTCAGAATCTTATTGCTCTTCGTCTACATGAACAATTCACAGAACTAACATATATCAAATAATGTTTCACATGAAAATGCCGCCTCCAGCTATGCCAGTTCAATTATGCAGACATACTTGTGGACAAAGTACAAGCAGCATGTGCTTGGCGAAATTCTCTCTCTTCAGTATGGATCCTCTTCAATATGGCATCTATGTGCTTCATCATCAGAATTTTTGTGTTTCTATGTCTCAGTGTTCCTACATCAGTGCTTATAATTTTTGTCTCTTCATTGAATATAAAGTTTTAGAAGTACTGATTTAGGAACACCAAGACGTAGAAATGTAGAAATTCTGATCATAGAGCACATAGTCATATTTGAAGAAGATCCATACTGAAGAGGAAGAATTTTGATTGTGTAGTATGCTAATATGTTGAGATAAATATCTAAGAAACTTGGCATTCGAGGGAAATTAAATTCCATTTCTATTTAAATTGACATTTGTGGTCACAGTTCACTTGGCACTGTAATTGTGCCTATCTCGAGAAAATTTAGGTTGATTCTGTTGCATTAGGAAGAGAGCACAGCAAAATAACATTTAAGCAGAAACAAAGGTGAAAGCAAAGTTTGACTAATATCATATAAGTATCTAATATGGAAGATCGCCAAAAGGAAGGTTTTGGTTTAGATTTGAAAAATTTCAGTTCTCAAAATCTTGAGGTCAACTTTCGCATAAGCTATGTCATCAACTTTACGCCAGCTCTGTAGCACAGATCAGCGTAGAAATGGTGCAGCCAGAAAAAGAAAAGTTATCATTACTTTTAGATTAGAGGAGAAATACCCAGATTAAAAATGAGAAATTAAAAGCTTTTTGCTAAATTGAATTAAAGCTGATTTAAATATTTTTTATCTTATATGCACATGTGGTACTGCCAATTGCAACGAGAAAGAGAGGTGCATAACTAGATGTTACAATAGTCCCATAGACAAAATTTAAATAATATTTGTCTAATCATGTTTAGTTACATGAGATATGTACATATGTATGTAATGGGTACAAGCCAGTTTCCCTTAGAAAGTCCTCCACAAAGACATCCCTCCACTTATGTCGATAGCCTTCTTGTGCTTTGCCATAATTAGCTAAACAAACCAAATTGATCAGGATTACCAAATAAACATATAATAATAATAATAATAAAGAAATCTGCATGCTTGTGTATAAGGTATCAAATTATACTATAAGCTTAAATCAAGATCTTTATCTCTTTTAACTGTTCTGTTAACCCTGGCAAAGCTTGGCTGGGTGGAAATATCTGACAGGTTCTTTGGAAGTGTATGTGAAAATCTTTGGTGTGAAACATTGGTCGAATTTTGTGATCTATCCCTCAAGATTTTCATTAATTTTCAATTATGCCATCCTCCCGCGATGAAAAAACATAACCTTTTACTATGTGGTGCATAAAATAATATCGAAATATTCAGCAAGAAACGTCAATATATAATGACAGTTATTAAAGAGCAAAATTTACTTTAATGAATGTGTTATAGAAAATGACTAATTATCCCTAATATTTGAAGATTATTTAAAATGAGTGTAATTTATGCTTAATTTCAGTGTATTCAATGAAGTGCTGACCTAATATATAATGAGATTATTCAGCAAATATTAGTTTGATTTGAAGACATTCTTTTTCTGTGATTAAGTTCTATAAATTACTTCAAAGTAAATATCATTTCAGCATTCAAGGTTTTACGTTTTACGTTGAATGGTTCAAAACTGGGTTTTCCCACCTTTGAGGCAATTTTAATGATATTCCTAATGCTCTCTGAAAAATATCGAATTGTCTTTTCACATTCTAACTGGCAAATTTATTAATAGTAGTAGTCAAATAATTTATTATTTGAATTAGATTTAATGGAGAACTAAACACTGTATTTAAGAAATTTTTCGTTGAATACACTAGCTGATTAGCTGAAGGATCTTGGAAGCAATGTTTTGCACTGATTTCCAGAATCTACAGATGGCTATTAAAAGCATTGAATGTTTTGTCTTAAATTACTTGGGGGAGGGGATATATATATTAGTAAAACCTTTTTAATTCTGCAGACTATTGAAAACAGATGATGTGAAAAAAAATTTGCTGTGTTTCATACTTGGCAAAAGATGCAATGAGGTAAACGAAACCTTTAGGTTTGCAAAGTATTTGAATATAATCATTGTATGTGCACTTTTTTTTTGCTGTGAGAATAACATGTTGATGAATGAATTGCATCATGTTGAATCTGTAATTTTACTTTGTTTCCTGAGGTAAAAAATAACCACTTTGAATGCAGAAAAATCAAATGTTCCCCAAAATGAAAATTGACTATCCACCCAAATGGAGTCGGAGTGGCCCCTGTTTTTTAACATTAATGTGTGCCTCTCTTTCTTTTCCTTTTCTTTTTTTAATTCAGCAGAATTTTGAAGATATATTCTGTATAGCAGCAGACTTTTTCAGTACTTCATTGCATTTTTTTATGTAATAAGGTACCGCTAAATTTGCTCATGTTGTAGAATAGGCAAATTTGTCAGGAAACCAGATTAAACATATGAAAGTAAAACATCTTATCCAATTATTAAACTCCATCAACAATGAAGGTTTTTGTAGATTCCACCAAATTTGTTTTAAAATAAAAATTTTTTAAGATAATCATTTTAAAATAACTTTTTTAATTGATTCAAGCATTAAACTTAACTATCTCTAAAAGCTGACTTAACTCTAAAGTATTATTGAGCTAAATTACTAAATTAGTTTATATTTAACTTGCTATCCTTATTAGATTTTATCTTAATTGTAATTCATTAATTATCCTAAATTCAATTCATTAAATATACTGCTCATAATATTAATACTGCTTTTCTATCTTAATTTTACCCCTTACAAACTGGACTTCCTGCTTCTCGCCCTTTCCTTTCTTGTACTTAGGTCAAACACCCTTCTCTCTCCCCATCCCCATGACCACTGATCAAGGCTCTTAGCAACTTTTGCTTGGTTTATGCATACCTTACTTTTCCCGAAATCGGCTTTGTTCGCGCTTCAGCTCCTTTCAACCCTTCTATTACAATTCATTTTGGTGAGTGCAGGTAATTAACTCCACTTACCACCTCGATTTTCTGCACTCGTTACTCTGCAGAGGTTCCTTTGGTGCCTTCCATTAGAGGTAAACTGCAGATGGTCTTTTATTCTTGTTCCTTGGGGACTTCTTATCCAGCTCCTGTGTTAATGCTTACTCATAATTAATTCATTTTCCTTAATTATGATGTAGAGATAATTGCAATTAATTTGCAAATGTACTCCATAACCAAAATAATTTGGTCCAAACTTGCACCGGTGATTCTGGCAGAAGTTTAAAGGAACCGATTGTTCTTTATTTAGTTAGATAATCAACAGATACAAATTATGGATATGACATCATTAAATCATTTATTATAATTTTTCCATTCCATCACCATTGTTAATCTGTTTTTAGTTTCATAATGTGCCCATTAAACGCGTGCTTCTTGATATCAGAATCCCATAATGCAGATTTCAAATTTTATTTATTTATTTATTTATTTTTTTCAAAATGCAGGGGGAAAACAAATAAATAAAATAATTTATATCCTTCTTTACAAAAGCTAAACCGGGTTAACGAGAATTAATTGGGTTTACCAAGACAAAGTTGATTTTTTCTGATGCTCCTTGCATTGTTTATCCAATACTGGTGCTAACTTGCACTGTTTGGTGATAGTGTCGTATACATGATTTTTGATGGCTTAAGTCTCTCATTGCTTAATTTTTCAATGGGAGAAATTTCTAAAATTCTAACATACTCTGGTTGTTATTTTACTGTAATCTGAACTTCATTTTTTTAAATACCGTGTGCTTTCAAGCTGAAAGTTTTTAGCAATATTTTTTTTTTTTTTCCTACAGTTTGTATTGTCATTTTTCTGTATTTCACTTCAACAACGTTGTGATCATCTTCAGTTCCATCCATAGCACCATTTAGCAAAAGTGATAACTTTTAGTTTAATTCTAGCAGAATGTGCGATCCTTTACTGTCTAAGCATATTTCACTTGTATAGTAGATGTAAAGAACTGTATTTTACTCATAAATGTTAGTTCAACTGGGGGGGGAGAGTCATGCTGTTGCTTCAGAATGGTTGCCATAAATGAGAACTGAAGTAAAAATATTTCCACTAATAGCAAAATGCCAAAAATTGGGAGTATTAAGAAGAAAAAAATTAATTGGTAACAAAAGTATCTTTATGTTTGATTATTCTCTTCCCCCCCCCCCCGTGGTTTTAGGTGAAACTACTATTTTTTTTATTTTTGTTGTGCATACATACATAATAAATAATAAAGAAAAGAAATAAATACATAGTGATATTGGTGATGGCGTAGAACATAGATCCATATTGAAGAGGAAGAATTCTGATTGTGTAGAATGCTAAAATATTGAATCCGTAATGACTAGGAAACTGAGCAACCAAGTAAGATTTAATATTCATTTTTTATTTCAATTGACATTTGTGGCCACAATTGACTTGGCACTCTATTCATGTGTAGTCAAGAACATTTACAAAGTTCCCTACCTTCTCGATTTAGGTGGGAAAATCCTGATTTTCGACCGGTCTCCCGCCAACCCAATTTACAATGTATTTCTCTTAAAATGTCTCACGATTTATATGTAGTGTGGCTTAATACTTCGTTATTTGCAGAAAAGTGGGAATGGGAATTTGGGGTGTCTGAAAGCACCTGGTTTTTCTCTATACTGCATAGAAAACCAAATTATTTTGATCAGTGAGAAATTATGCAGGGCTTCTACTCTGTGAGTGAGAGCACGTATTCGAAAACGTTCCATTTCTGCAATGAGCATCGAGTGCCACTGCATGTGATCTGGCACATATTACCCAATGAGCACAAACAAGATCAAGGTTGTTATTTCGTTCATCATGTAGCTAACCTGTGCGAATGTACATGCTTTTGAGAAATAGTTTAAGAAATTACAATATTCCATATTAGTTATGTCTGCAAACAAGGTAAAATACTCATGTACTTTTCAAAAATCATACACAGATCACTTTCCTTCTAATATTTCCTCAAGGAAATATAATGCATTTAAGATGCGTACCATTTGTCATTGCGATTTTTCGGTTTCGCACGGTGGAAGGGCCGATGTTCTCAAACATGTTCGTACACAAAATCACAGGGACAACATGAGTTCTGTTGAAAAAACAGAAAGTTAATTTTTTTCTATGGAAACAAAGGACCAAAAAATTATTAATGCAGAATGTTTTGTTTGCATTTAAGAATTAGTAACTGAACTTTCAGATATTAATTAGTAACGATTTGAAGGTATTTCATTATTAAAAAATAAATTTTTGTCATTGAAAATAAATCTCCTGATTTCTAAAAAAATTCTCCGATTTGAGCATCATAGGTTGGCAAATGTGCATTTACATTTTTTGGTACTGTTGCAGTAGGAAGCATAGTGCATACAGAAAAAGCATCTGAGTAGCAGAGGTAGAAGCTAAAGGTTAGAAAGGTTTCAGTTCTCAAAATTTTGAGTTTAAGTTCCAAATTACCTATGTCATCAACACTATGCAAGCCATGTGATATAGATTAAACTAGAAATGGCACAGTCCAGTAAAGTTATTACAGCTTTTAGAATACAGAGAGGAAATACCCAAATTAAAAATGAGGAATTAAGATGCTTGTTACTAAATTAAACTACAAAGCTGATTTACATATTTTTTTAATCTTACATTTATGCAAGTTAGGTTTATTGGGGTATTTTAAATTTGGCTTATACTACATATTTTGAATTTTGGCTGAAGTTCAGCAAAATGCTACCTTTTTACCTTATTTTAAAAAATATAGTTTAATTTGAATAAGCAAATATATTTACTGTTAAGCAAAAAAATCAACCTTATTTCAGCTTTAATTTCATTTGAGGACAGCCAGACATGCTTCCTATTCTGTCTGTGTCTGATCGTCCTGAAAATTGATGGTTTGATTTAAAATCTGCCAAACTAAGGTTGCTTTTTTGCCTTGTTGTAAAATTTACATTGACTTGCTTCTCTTCCTATTTGAAGAAAATATGTATTTGGGAAATGAATGATGCAGTTCTGTAAGCTGTATTTACACAAAGATAAATTAGTATTGACTAGAAATTGGTGTATAAGGCATAAATCATTTGAGGCTTCTTGAAATTCTCTTATATATCAATATTATTTTATATGAGGTTTTTGTTTACAATTTTAGTACAATAGAACTCCAACTATCCGAATCAATTGGGGCCAGACCCCATTCGGATAATCAAAAATTCGGATAATTGGATTTTTTCCGAAGAAAGAGTCTGCATACACTGTATTAATTACTGTATGTATTGTATGTAGAAAATTAGAGAAAAAACTATTTTTAAAGAAAAAGAGGTTTCAATTAATTAAAATTAAAAGGCAACACTTTTACGTACATGTTTATGTAGCATACTGTAAAGTAGTTACAAGTGCTGAAAGTCATTGCTTGCTGAACATCTTGGCCAAAATAAGCTGTTTGATGGACACTGTGCTTGCACTTAAAATTTTCTTAGCCAGCCGTTAACTTGCTTTAAAGGATGAACAGTTAAGATTCTGAGCTAAGACCTTAGCTTTTTCACAAAGAATCAGACCCGAAATTGGGTTTCCCATAGAACATTGCTGCAGAAACCACTTGAAAACAACATCTTCTTCTTCTTTTAATGTCTGAAATCATTGATTGTCCAACACTACATTTCAGTCTTAATTTTTTTCTTAAATTCTGAAAGCAATCCGGATAATCAGCGATTTTGATAGTTGGAGTTCAGATAATTGGAGTTGTACTGCATTAAGATATATGAACCTGCAAAATAGTTTATTATTACATGGAAGAATGAACTTCCTATCTCCAAAAGCAGCATTTTGGAATTGCTTTGGCACCTTAATGCATAGGTGATTGAATTATTTACTGTATTTCTTTTATTGTAATCATGGGGTTTAAAATAAAGCTTGGTTTTTATAAAGCTCTACAAATGCTTGAACAGAGATTTGATTCAAGTGATTAATTAAAATGCTCTGTTTACACAAGTCTATTGATTTACTAGCACTTATCTCTAAATTTTTACATATATTTTTTATAGCTTTAAACAGACAAGAAACAAAATTTCATTTTGTATTGTGGCAAAGGACTCCTGCCATCTGATAAGAAATTAAAGCAAATTATTATTTAAGATAATATTCTACAAACAAAAAAGGAAATGTGTGAAGGAATAATTGGTTAAGCCTCAGTGCAATCAACAAGTTTCTTATCAATTAAATTTGGCTTTTATGCATTCTGATTTTTTTTTTTTTTTAATCTTCATGCTGTAAGTTAATGAACTTTATCCGTTCGTTTTATAGCTTGGGAGTAGAACCAGTTGACCATGATGTTCTAAAACAACCTCCTAGGAATGTCAAAGAGCCAATGATTACTCGAGATCTTATCATAAATGTTATAATGTCAGCTCTTATAATCATTACTGGCACTATGTGGATCTTCAGAAGAGAGGTAAATATTGCTAAATTTACAATTTGTTTAATATATCTTCTGTTTTATCTAAATTTGGAAAAAAAAATTGAGCTGTGAAAATAAAATATACGAGTATGAACAGTAAAATTTTCGATTTTTCTTTGCAAATAAAATTTTATTCTGGAAGTGTTGTTAACCTTATATATTTTGTGATAATTCATAGATCTTTAACAGTTAATAATAATAATAAAAGGCATAAAAGCAAAACATAAATTATAAATACAGATGCTTTTAAAATGAGATATCATGAACAGAGAGGAGTGCTGAGCAATTTTGAGGATACTTATCAGTTATCATGGTTCACATTTTCTTAGTATAACTTTTTTCGCATCAAAGAATGAAACATCTAAAATAAGCACTTAAGATGAAAATAAATTGCAAGTTAAATGTATTTTAATTTATTCCAATTAGTTGTATTAATAAAAGAACCTAACTAAGGACTTAAACTGTTAAGAACAGTGTTTATAGTTTTAAATCATTCAGTTGTTATGCAATTACAGATTGATTAAATTTAAAAATTGAATTAAATATTCTATTTTTTATCAAATGGCAATATTTTGAGCATTGCCTATATGCAAAGTTATATGGAATATAATTTAAGATGTTTTGTGCTGTAGCAACACCTAGCAAAGTGAATAGATAATATATGAATGCTATTGTCATTCACTAATGTAACAATCCAAAAATTGTGGAGCCCCAAAGACATATGTAACAACAGAATGCTATTGTTGCCATCCTAACTTGCCAATATGTGAGCATGTTTAAAAATGTATTCTAGTACAATTTATGTTGTATGAAAAAAGTGGCTTTGCATCTCGGATATTGCCAACTGTTATTGACTCTGTAGAGACATTAGGATTTTTGGAAGCAGGCAAGATGAAAAATTAGCAAACGTCTTCGCCGGGAATCGAACCATGAACCTCTGAAATTCCGGCCCAGCATGCAGAACCACTACACCATGAAGGCATGCTATAAAAGTGGGAGAAATACCTTATATATTCCCCTTTTTGAAGAGCAACTGGGATTTTTAGGGTGCCCAATCACCAAATCCTGGGTATGGAGAAACCTCATCCAACACCCTTTTAGTTCGTGCTCCACTGTAGAGACATTAAGATTTTTGGAAGCAGGCAAGATGGAAAATTAGCAAACGCCTTCGCCGGGAATCGAACCACGGACCTCTGGAATACCGGCCTGGCGTGCAGAACCACTACACCACGAAGGCATGCTAGAAAAGCAGGAGAAATACCTTATAACTCTAATACATAGTATACATTGTAAGTGAATGGAAATATAAACATCTCATATTTATCACTTATTTTTAACTTTTTTTATTTCCATTTTAGATGAGTGATATGATGGTCACGCGGAGAGATACTACAATGACATTCACTTGTTTTGTTTTCTTTGACATGTTTAATGCACTGAGTTGTAGATCACAGGTAGTATTTTTTAAAATTGTATATTAGTTAGTTGTGTTGCTTACGTGTTTAGAAGCTATTTGAAATATTTTAATTTGTCATAAAACTATAGCTGCCTAATTATCCATAGCTTAGTTGTTAATGTTTTTAAGTCTTATCCGAATTCATTTCTTGTAGGGCAGACTTATTGTGTACAGTTTTTTTAGTTTTTCATGTGTAATGTAACCAAATTATTTTCTCATAAAATCTTTCATCCTTCTTGTGTTTGTATTTTTAATCTTTTACGTATCTTAATAGGAAATATTTTATTGCTACTATTTAACTTCTCAGCAAAAAACAGTTTCCCCCCTTTAAAAAGTGTGGAAAATGTTAAGATTTCATACTGTTGGGTCAGTCCATAAATTCATGCGCATTTTTTGGTAAATTTTTAAGTAATATAAAAAACACAATGTAACATTTTAGTCAGTTATATATTTTCTTCTATTATCTACAATGGCTCGCCATCTTACAGGCAGCTTTTTTATGCCATTGCTGTAGAAAGACTGTGGTTTTGATGCAGAAAAACTTGTAAGTTCATTGTGTACATCCTATTTGGAATTTAATTTTTCCCCCCTGTAAAAATTTTGTAAGGCACGAAATATGTGAAAATCACTTGGGGCAACATCTGGGGAGTAAGCAGGATGTGGCAAAAGCTCCCAATTCAATTCACTAATTTTTTTGCAGCTTTGTTCGAGCAGTATGCGGTCTAGTGTTATCATAATGAAACAACACTTTCTTGATATTCACCAATCGTGGGCATTTTTTTGATCAATTCTGAGTTTAGATGGCAAAGTTGTTCACTATAAACTTCTGAATTAATCGTTTGATTTGGTTCTAGCAGTTCAAAATGTCCTGAACTGGGTTCATCATCAATGCTGCTTTTTCCAATTTTAAATTTTTTAAACCATTTCTGGGCAGTCCTTACATTAAGTGTGTTCACAATGTACACTATTAATTTTTATCACTGAAAACCTGGCAGATTCACCACACGAAAATAAAAAATGTAGCACAGCACGTTTGTACTGATTATCTATATTCATCTTCTATGGGTACTAAAATGCGTTCGATATTTACGAAAGTTGGTGATGAACTGAATAATATGTTAGTCAAGTGATGACAAGTTTCAAAAGGTTCAAAATTGTATTGTTTTAGTAAATGCGTCATAGTGAATTACACGTGCACGAACTTATGGACTGACACAATAATTTTATTGGTGAAACTGGAAAATAATAAAAATTTAGAACATCAAGTATCATGAGTATATAATTAGCAATGTTAAAGAGTAGATATGCTGGCCATATGATAAGAAACGAATATTATTGGAAAAAATTTTTGGGGGAGGAAGGACTTTTTTTCAGCATTGAAATTCATCATGGTATATGAATAGGATTTTACCATATATGTATCCTAAGCTTAGCAGTCAGTATAAAAATATTTTTATGTGCTTGGAAATTGCATTTTGAGCTCCAATTTTCATACTTATTCTGTTTTTATAATTCTGGCTTTAATTATGATATATCTAACAATACAGAATATCTGATACTGATCCTAGAGGTTTTAGTATTTAATTTAAAAGCCATAATATAATATATCCGGCGTAAGTTCTAAAATATTAATTTCTGGCTTGACTGCCTTTATATATGCCAGCTGGCATAAACCTTTATTTAAGATATTATTAAAAAACTGAAAAACATACTTGGTACTTAATGAGTTTTATTTAGATAAATTAACTGAAGGCATGGCTATCCTCACAGTTTCCTTATGTGTTTGAGGATTATTTAGTTCCCGATAATTTTGCAAGTATAAATTGATAAGTAAGAACATAAAATATTTATTGCATTCCTAATGCAGTTATTTTAAGTGAAATACTGTATATTTTGCTTATGAGATTAATAAGACATTACTATGATGCTGATGCATGAATATTTTTATATTTTAAAATGTGCAGTGCATATTTGGATTTCTAATAGCGTGCAACTGAAAATTGATTTTGATGATTACTTTGTGTGAATATGTAAATTGTTTCTCGTTTGCATTACAGTTTAACGTTTTAAAATTTTTAACACAAATCACTTACTGAAAAATGTGTTTTGAGCAGCATTTTAAATTTGTTATTTTTGTAATCTTACTTTTGGTCCCTGTGTTATTCCAGCTGTAAAATTAATTACCAAAATAATTTGTAATGTGGGTAGGCATTCATCTTGGCTTTTTTATGAGTGCGTGCCCTTTATGGATGCAGCTCAATGGCCTAAAAATGTAGTAGTTTCTTGGTGAGATTTAACAAATAAGATTTCTTGGTGGGGCTCTAAAAAATACTGGAGATGAGAGAAAGGCTTGCTCAAGCTATATGAAATATCACACTATTTTTAAAGGAATAGAAAGAAATGTGTAGCAGGTGTATCTCAATCCCAATATTAATATAAATATTTTCAGTGAGATGCTGTAGTTCCCAATATTATTACTAGTGATTATGGTGGTGCTTAGTAGGAGCAGATTTAAACAATTATGTCTCATGGGCTGCTAATCTGTATTACGACTACTTTTTTACATGACTACTCAATCAGTAATGCTAGTTTTGAAGATTAACTAAGCACAAATTCAATGCGTGAAATTTGCAGATTTAAGTGATCAAGTTTGCCAGTTTTGGCAACTAAGTGTAGTGGCCACCTTAACAGGAAAAGTTCCCAAAGGCCTCACTTGTAGGGAAAAAATATCTGGTAAAATTTTTTGTCGGGTTCTAAAATGGCCTAAATTTTTGTCACATTTATAATATTTTACCATAAATTACTATAAAAATTGCTTTTTAAATGCATCTGTGCTCTCAGTTAAACAGATTTTGGTCTTTAGTCAAAAATTTGCCAATACTATAGTTATTTTTATATGTACTTTAGATACCATGCTGTGATTTATGAAATAATATAAATAGCATATTATAACAAGCTTAAAGAATGCATATGTGTAATTAAAAACAAAATGCTGTAATGAAGCTCTAGAAACATAATTGCAGTTTTGTGTCAGATTTTGATATTTATTTTAGAATTATTATTTTTTTAAACCAAAATTCCTGCATTTTCTAGTTTATTATTTTAATATTCTCACATTTGAATTAGTATATGAAGATTTCTAATTCTCTCTTTTTTTTTTTTTTTTTTTTGTTTGTTTGTTTTTTTATTATTATTATTATTATTTCCCACCCAGACCAAATCAATATTTACTATAGGTCTGTGTAGCAACAGAATGTTTCTAATAGCAGTTACAGGATCTGTCATCGGCCAATTACTAGTAATTTATTTTGCACCATTACAGAGGATATTTCAGACAGAAGCTTTGCCATTATCAGGTCAGTGCAAGGACCCTTTTTTATTTATTTATTTTTGAATCAGAACCTTAAAATGGAATATTATAAATATTTATGTGACTATGCTGTCCTTTCTGATGATAATAACCTTAGTAGAAGTGTCAGTCATGCAGTGGTGTAGCTAGGGTAGGGCAAGGGGGGGGGACATCTGTTCCCGGGGGCAGCCATCCAAGAGGCGGCAAATTGATGCTACGAAATTTTTTAGTGAAATGTTTTCCATTCTTGGCACAAAGAAAGGGGTGCAAATCCTTCAGTTGTTCCCGGGCACTGGAAACTCTAGCTACGCCCCTGCAGTCATGTCAGGTTTATTTTCATTGAGGGTAGACAGCATTATGCCATGAGAGAATCAGTTTGTCATGTTAGCATGAGGAAAATCAAAATTTCTCATTTGCCATCATCTTATTTTTAAGCTAATTAATTTTGAGTCCCCCATCCCCTCTGTAAAAATCAACTTATATTTCTTTGTTGAATCAAAGAAAGATAAAAATACTGCGTTCAGTAGTTAGGCAAAATTGCTATGTTCTGTGACATTGAAGCAGAATAAAAAGATTCTTTGCAGATTCTTTGTATTGAAGTAAGAAAATATGCTGTTGAAACAGCAGTGTTTCATTTTCAACTGTGAAGAGGATTACCACAGAAGGGGAAGAATTAGTCATTTCTGATAGCTAACTTTCATCTCCTTGTAAATATGGACTGTTATATTAGGCGGCAAGAAAAATTCTCTTCATAAAAGTAATAAAAACATAAATTTATTCACAGAAAATACAGGTTTGTTCTTAGTCACGGTTTCTCATACTGCTGTCTTGCAAGAGAAGAGCACACTGTTGCCAATCCACTGCACAGGGTTCATAGCGGTCCTTATAAGTGCTTATAAGTCCTTATATTTGAAAATAAAATATAAAGGCCCTTATAGGTGCTTGCTTTTTCTTTAAAGCCCTTATTTTTTTGTTTTTAGTGCTTTTTTTTTTAATGAACGCACTTTTTTTCTCTGTACCAAAGCCGAAACTAAATAAACAACTTTTCTTCCTAATATTGAATGTCAGATGGTGAATCATACTCCCGGAAATAGCTTTTCTTCTTTTTTCTTCTTTTCTCATGGTGTGCACAAAGAGTACAGACAGGTGCCCATCATTCTATTGGTCAAAGAATTGCGAAAGCAGTAGAAAATTCCGGTACGTTCAGCATTCTTTTCCTCCCACCGAAATACTACACACGTTTGAATTTCTATCAAGATCTTAATAATTTGCATTCTCGTTCTGCTTGGTCAGTTCATATTCGTGTGTTATTATGATCGTTATGCTTATATTATGAGCATATGTATGAATGTTTATAATAACATAGTTGCAGTAACTGCTGAAGTATAGTAAACTTTTAAAAATGTTTGTGTTTTAACACATATTAGCTTTCTAAGGAATAATATTTGGAATGGCTTAAATAAAGGGAAAGTAATCGAATAGTAAAAATAATTTTGTTTTTTTGGCCAATACATTATACAGTATGAAGATTGGGAGGTTCTCCCCTTTCACCGCAAAATCTCGAATACTGACACTGTTACAGTTCGCTGCAAAACAAGCAACGGACACCCCCCCCTTTTTTTTTTTTTTGGTCACTTTCCAATCTGGATTGAATAGGACTAAAAGTTCTGCGGTCTACCAACCCAAGCAAAGAATGATTCTATTCCATTCCGGAAATTTAACGCCGTTCAGAATTTAGATTTAAATTATTTAAATATCAATATGAGTAGAAAAATAAATTGTATTTATTATTAGGTTCCAGGCGAATACAATAAATATACCTTATTATTATTTATTTTCTCTATTTTGAACTGAAATTTCATCATTAAATCTTGTAATATAGTGTAGTTCTGCATAGTTTTTTTTTTCCTCTCATTGTAAACTAGTTCTGTAAATTGAACTGTTATTTAAAATTAAAATAATAATAATAATAATAAAAGTAATTATTTTCCATGGTTGAGATAATGCTTATTCTCTCTTAATAAATACTGCATTTCTCATATTTTAAATTACAAGTCTAATTTTTAAGGTTATGCAGTTGTGTATAATGTAATTAGATAGGTGCTTATTTTTTTAACTAAAATGTGGCTTTGAACCCTGACTGCAGCTAAATATTGGCATCAAAGGCTTGGGCTTGTCAATTGCCAACATCCTCCCACCTTAACTTCATTCAAAGACATTAACTTAACAAATATTTTAGCATTAAAATCTGTATTTCTTGAAAAAGAAACTAATATTTAAAAAAGTATGATTTCTACACTATTAAAATTACATGATTACAATTTTTTACAAATAATAATTTTATAAGTTCAGTCTTATAGGAGTTTAAATCTCGTGATCACATGCAGATAGTTTTCGTAGAGTTTCAGAGAGTTCTTTTACCTTGGGTTCTTTTACCTTTTTGCCTTGTTGCTCTCGTCACTTTTGGACTGGGCTAAGTCTTCTGTTACTTCAGCAGCACCTTGATGTCCAACAATTTCCAGTGAATAGATTCTTTGAAGTGGTCGTAACAGTATACCCAGTGCTGTTTTGACACGTACAATTCTCACTCTGCCATGGTGGCCTGGGATAAGTTCTATCATTTTTCGCAAGTGGCCAATCTGAGCTTTTTTTTTTTTTTTTTTTTTTTTTCCCCCATTATCACTTACGATTAATACAATGTCATCAACATTTATCTTCAACGATCTTTTATTGACCTCCATCTTCAGTTGGCCTAAAATATTCACTATAAAATCTTTGCTATAACTCTTCTCTCAACTGTAGTCTGTACTTAAACCATTTATTGAGGACTTGAACTAGTACTGATCCAACATCTTCAACATCATTATGGGACATATTAGGAATGAAAGAAACTGGATTATTTCAATCTTCAGAAATCAAAGTTAGAGGTTGAGATTTATGATTCCTTCACAATCACATAGAATTGTTTGTAGTTCTTCAAATTCCAGCAATGCTTTCTCAAGAACTTTTCTTAGCAGTTGTTTAAGAGTACCTATCATTCTCTCCCAACATCCATGCTGCCATTGTGTAGGAGGAATAAATTTCTGGTGGATCTTCTTTGCAGAGCTGTAAACCTCAGTTTCTTTTCAGTTAATATTATTTAAAGCACTAGATGCTACAAAATTACTTTCATTGTCGCTATAAATTATAAATGGTCATCCTCTAAATCTAACAGATCTTCTGAACTCTTGTAAAAAACAGTAAGTTGACAGAGTGAAAATGAGCTCGAGAGTACTGCCCGATGTACTCCACATGTAAATAGACGACATGTCCATGCTTACTTCTGGGTTGTCTTCCCTTAGCTTTTGAGGTATAAAGGACCAGTGAAATCTACACCTATTATTTCAAAAGCTTTAGCATTATGTACACGATCTTCAAGCAAGACAGTTGGTTAAACTTCCATATTTTTTACTTTGTACCTTTTACACTGTAAACATTAATTAAGAGGAGCTTGGATGGTATGACGACCTTTTAAAGTCCTAATGCTCACTAAGAATTTTTCTCAACATCTGAGTACTAGCATGAGATGATTTTAAATGTGTATCAAAAATCAGTTTGAAAACAACAGGATGGTTATAATTAGGTAAAGCTGTTGGGTGCCAAAAATCCTTCTGTCTTCTCAATGAGAAATTTTCGATCTTAATAAAACACTTTCTTCGTCAACATAGGGGTTAAATTAGATAATCAAGAATCAACAAAAGCACAAAATGTTTTCCTTTGAATTATTTGCAATATCTTGTTTTCAGCTGCTCTATATTCTTCACAAGACAAATCACCATGGATATGTTGAACTTTTAGAATTTGACTGTTCTCCTTGAACTGTAATATCCAACTGTGTGACTCTACTTCAAGATATGTTTGTAATATCACTTTATATTTTCCAGTTGAATGCTCATTAATGAAGATTTGATGCATTTTTCTTCTCCACTGGGTCATCTTGTTCATATGTTTGACTGCCAAGATTTCTTACATTCTTTTAGCCAATGTGGATCTTCCCACCATCAGTATTTTAGCAACTGTTTTGCTCTACATCCTGTAGAAGGTAAATTTGTAGGATTCTAATCACCTGATATATATGTTCCCATAGGTGTCAGAAGCGAGTTCTAAATTTTTTTTTTACTCTGTTACTAAAATTTACCACTGATCATGGTGGCAGATCCAACTAAGAACCGTGGTTGAGTCTGTCCAAAAGAAAGATCCTGTATCTTCTAGTTTAAAAGCTACTGTTTCTGATGTATGCAACCTAGCTCCAATTATAGCTGCTGGCAGTTCCAATCTTGGTGTTGTAATCTTCATAAGAGTACTTCTTGATGGGCTTGTAGTAATTGCACTGATATCCTATGCTTTGGTTCACATCTGATAGATACTGTGGCAGTATATGCTAGTTAACTGGCATCACAGAAAGTATGCAGACTAAAAATTTCATCTCTCTATTCCTACTAAACCATCTGGGTTCTTTTATATTGATTAAATATGGTAACTCTTTCGTCCTCTTCAAAAATTCTTCTTTTACCTCATTATTCACTTCAGCATCCCATGTTGTCTTTCAGGCAGACTGCAACAGAAGTTTAGGACGTAATGTCCCAGGGCATGTAAACTGTACAGGATCAAAAACTAGGTTAAAAACTGACAGGATTTTTCTTTTTTCACTTTGTTTTCTTTAAATTCCAATCTGGACTAATCTCTAGAATATCAGCGTCTCTATCCCATAATAGTTCCAAAACATTTGACTTGTTGATTTCAAATACAGAAATTTCTAAACTGTGTTCCCAACCTCTCAAATCAAATTGTGCCTTTTCCATAATTTCGGTTACTTCTGTCATAAAACCTTTAAGTTCTGGTATGTCTTCTACACTGGTAATACAGTTATCAACATAAAAACTATGAGAAGTAACCAGTATCTTTCACCTTATTCAATTAGCATGCATTTCTTTGTTAAGGGAAGATTAATAACTGCTCTTAATAGAA